CGCATCATGTGTCCAGTGTGCTGGTGGGGTCTTTATCAGTGCAGGGTGGGGTATAATCATATAATCCTGCATCTTGTGACAATTATTATCTACTCGTAGGGGATTCATTTGATATTTCATTTCTTTTATTCTTGACTCCAGGAATTAACAGAGATGCGGAGATGGACGATCAGAATACCGGATTAGCAGATCTGAAGGATGCGACCAGTGAGGACACTGACAAAGGTGAGCAGCGGGAAACCCTCAAGCAGAGTAATAAGTTGGGGCATATATACTGAATGGAGGGGTTATCTAGACTTAGAGAATCTCTACTGATTATGGGAATAGGATTGTGAAGAGAGTGCTAGGAGTGAGGGAAGGACAGTTCTAGAGAGAAAAAGAACAGTAATAGATGGATGGGAACTAGGGAGAGAGACTACACTACTGAGTAGAAGAGGGCTAGAGCGTGCCAGTAGTTCTCAGTGGGGGCATGTAGAAACACAGCAAATGGTACTGAATGGAGGGGAGTTCTAGAGAGAGTCACGGGTACTGAATGGAGGGGAGTTCTAGAGAGAGCCACAGGTACTGAATGGAGGGGAGTCCTGGAGAAAGTCACGGGTACTGAATGGAGGGGAGTCCTAGAGAGAGCCACAGGTACTGAATGGAGGGGAGTCCTAGAGATAGCCACAGGTACTGAATGGAGGGGAGTCCTAGAGAGAGCTATGGGTACTGAATGGAGGGGAGTCCTAGAGAGAGCCACGAGGTACTGAATGGAGGGGGAGTCCTAGAGAGAACCACGGGTACTGAATGGAGGGGAGTCCTAGAGAGGGCCACAGGTACTGAATGGAGGGAAGTTCTAGAGAGAGCCACAGGTACTGAATGGAGGGGAGTCCTAGAGATAGCCACAGGTACTGAATGGAGGGGAGTCCTAGAGAGAGCTATGGGTACTGAATGGAGGGGAGTCCTAGAGAGAGCCACGAGGTACTGAATGGAGGGGGAGTCCTAGAGAGAACCACGGGTACTGAATGGAGGGGAGTCCTAGAGAGGGCCACAGGTACTGAATGGAGGGAAGTTCTAGAGAGAACCACGGGTACTGAATGGAGGGGAGTCCTAGAGAGAGCCACGGGTACTGAATGGAGGGAAGTTCTAGAGAGGGCCACGGGTACTGAATGGAGGGAAGTTCTAGAGAGGGCCACGGGTACTGAATGGAGGGAAGTTCTAGAGAGGGCCACAGGTACTGAATGGAGGGAAGTTCTAGAGGGGGCCACAGGTACTGAATGGAGGGGAGTTCTAGAGGGGGCCACAGGTACTGAATGGAGGGGAGTTCTAGAGGGGGCCACAAGAACTGGATGGGAGGTGTGGCTGTAGAGAGAGACACTGGTACAAGATAGAGGGCGTTTAAGAGAGAGCCACAGGTAGTAGATGGGAAGGTTCTAGAGAGGGCAACAGTGACTAAATGGCAGGGGTTCTAGAGATAGCTGAGGCCAGGCCCAATGGGTCTATTTCGAGTTCAGGGCCAGTGGGTCTCTTGCCGGGACAAGATCCGGCATGTCTTCCTGGACTTTTGCTGGGGCAAGGTCTGATAGGTGTAGGTTAAGATTGAGAGTGGCCTTTATGTAATATAAGCCTTTTCCTCTGCAGCTTTATACTAGCATCCACCAGTGTGCTCTGTTCTATGCCAACAGATGCTGTAAAGGACCAGGAGAGGCCATCCTGCAGTGCTGTGTTTTATCCATCTGATGAGACCCCTGAGCAGAAGACTGATGTCTCCATCTATCCGTGTGATGAATCAGCACAAAGTGGGTCACATGACTTCGTCCTGGGGGATGATGTTCCAGAATCACTTAAAGCCCTAAATATCAATGTGGATGTAGCTCGGCTGATCCCTGACAGCTGGGTGGAAAAAACATTTTGTGATCATTCTGAAAGCCCTCGATCCCCAGAACAAGTAGTGAGAACAGAGGTAGCTCCAGTGCTTTCAGACTATGGGGACCACACACCTTCAGTCACTGCACCGGAGGACCGTTTGCAGCAGAAGCTGTGGGAAAATACTCAGAGAAAGCCCTTTAATGTGATATCTGGTGCGGACACTTTATGTGCGAACTCTGGATATAACGTGGACGATGAAGCAATAAAGAGCATTGAGAAGACCACTCAAGGGGTTTCTGCTGATGGGGACTTAAAAGAGGGACATTCAACCTTCCCTTTAGACTTGAATTTAGAGCTGAAATCTACTGGACTTTCAGATGAGAAATATGACGATGGCAGCTCTAAACTGTCCGATTCCACCGATTATACTTTAGAAGATTGTGGAGATTTTCCCTCTCTGCCATCAGTGGTTGTAAATGTCCCATCAGAAATGTCACCAGCACAGATTCAGCGTGATGAGGACATCACTGCCGACGGCTGGCGTGCCCGGAGGAAACATGTATTTGTCTTGAGTGAGGCAGGAAAACCCATCTACTCTCGTTATGGTAACGAAGAGGCTCTGTCGTCCACCATGGGTGTCATGATGGCGTTGGTGAGCTTTGTACAGAGTGGGAATAATTCCATCCGCTCCATCTATTCAGGTATTACGCAATGCACACTGAGCATAGATTTCTCAATAAGCAGCAGTGATACTATCAGGAGTGTAAAATACTGCGGATTTTGAGAATTTGTCAAGCGTGGCTATTTTGTCTTATATATTCCCTGGTCAGTTTCTGGTTTGGCAGATACCAAGAGCGTGAACTGAGCAGCCCCTGGCTGTGGCCGTAATCTGAGCTGAAGATTTTTTTTCCACGTCGTTATATTGGCCTAAACTTCACAATTTGTTTTTGTATTTTTTTAGTTCACCACAGTTCACTTTATAGTATATCAATTTTCTCTGGGTTATGCTGCTATTTCTCCCAATTCGCTGGTCCATTCCTTCCATTTCCCAAATTGGTGAAGACCGCAGTGCGTGTGTGACCTGGAGTATTGCCGCAGTTTATAGATGAGCTGTATTTTAATAAGTTTTTCATAGTATATCGTTATAGATTCCTTGTAATGGCTTTGAATGAGATTTTTGATTGGGGTTCTGTCCTATGCACGGTTTTATTAACAAGCTTGCGGATACCATCCCTATTTTGACTCATTTTGTGGATGTTTGCTCCAAGTCTAGAGTGTTGAGGCTGTGCGGAAGTACGCAGAGCGCTGTAAATATGAATGTAATTGCTAATTTCTGTTCATAATCAAACAATATATACATCGGTAAAAAAACCTTATGTCACAGGGATAAATTCTAAAATACAATTACTTGCTATGGTTATCACAAATCAGTAGAAGATGTCTAAAATAAAACAAAGAAACACAATAAACATAGTGAAAATGGTAAAACCATATAAGGCTAAAGGGTGGGGTTGAGATGTCACTCACATGACACGGAGCCATATCAGGCTCTGTAATAAAGGCTCAATGTTGCCACTCATGGCTACAGGATCCCATTTTCCAAAGACAGGATACAGGACATCAACTAGTTCCACCCCAGATATGTTTATTGATGCAGAATAAAAAAACAAATAAAACATTTTTTTTAATATATATAGTGCACAGTAGGTACCACTCACCACCTTCCAGTAGAAGAAGGCTTAAATGTCAAAATGTGTTAGCTGCTATTTATTACAAATTTTATTACAAACTTTTGATCCTGGGTTACTGGAAGGTTATGAATGGGATTTGGTAAATGCCCCACGTGTTCGTACAGCTTGTCCCTAGTATTTCATGTGGCGCTATGTGCCAGTTCGAGCTGTGAAGTATTATTATTTATTTTTTTTAATTTTTTTTAATAGACAATCAGAAGGTGGTTTTCCTGCAGCAGGGGCCCCTGGTGCTGGTGTCAGTGTCCCGCGCCCCGCAGACTGAGGAGCAGCTGAGAAGGGAGCTGCAGTACGTGTATTACCAGATTATTAGCATGTTGACCCAGGCCAGCGTGGCTCGAATCTTTGAGCGTAAAAAGAACTATGACTTGCGTCGCCTGCTGGCTGGCTCTGAGAAGATCCTAGACAGCCTTTTAGACTTGTTGGATTCAGACCCAGGCTTCTTGTTAGGGGCTGTCCGCTGTGTGGCCCTGCCTTGCCCCCTGCGCGACTCTCTTAGCTCCATTCTGACGAAGTCCATCACTCCAAATCTAGTCTTCTCAATCTTGGTGGCGGAGCAGCAGCTGGTTACCGTCGTGCAGGAGCGGGCTGTCATTGAGGATTGCCGCCTGGACCCCACTGACCTGCATCTCCTTCTGAATCTCATTGGGGCATCTTCTGCATTCCAGGCAGGGGAGATCTGGACGCCTATCTGCCTTCCTCGCTTCAATCCAGATGGCTACTTCTACGCCTATATCTCCTACCTGGACCCTGAGTGCACAGTGTGTCTGGTACTGCTCTCCACCGATAAAGAGTCCTTCTATGCTGTGTCTGGCTGCAAGAAAAAGATCCAACTGGCCATGGAAGCCCAAAACTCCCTGTCTGCACTTTCTACTGCCATGCGCTCCTCTGTGTACAGTGTGACTTCACTAGGAGTTCCTGAGTTGCTTCACTTTGTGTACAAGCCAATGGATGTGCCAGATGCTTACCGCCAGCTCCCCCAGTTTACAAGGTGGGTTTATTCATAGCTTAATTTTTGCTACTTCAGTGTCTCTCATGGCCGAGCCCCAGCAGGGCCGGAATCTGCCCGGACAGAGTTGTTACTCTGTCTGTAATTAGAGCTCTGGCAGTTTCAGATAATGCTGAGATAGTCATTGTACAGCATGGAGAATATCACACCGGGCATTGTACGATAATAATGGGCATTGTCTGAGCCAGCAGCTTGAGATTTAGTACAGTGGTACCCAGCCTGCACACTTTAATAAATAAATGATGGTCCAGGTACTCAAGGTAAATCCAATGAGCAGGTTTACTGGAGCAGATGAAAAGCAACGTTTTCGGCCCACAACAGGGCCTTTGTCAAGCTCAACAAAGGCCCTGTTGTGGGCCGAAATGTTGCTTTTCATCTGCTCCTATAAATCTTCTCATTGGATTTACCTTGAGTACCTGGGCCATCATTTATTTAATGCAAATTATGTTGTGAGGATTGGCCAACCCCAGGCCCGGTTGCACCCTGGAATCCAGGAGAGGGCGGTACCCTTTTTGGAAATTGCATTGATGCACACTTCAATAAGGCGCACCCCTGCTTCTTTCTATCATTCATCAGTCATACTTTTTAGTCCAGTGCTTCCCAACCTTTTTTCACTTGAGTACTCATTGGCAGCCCATTTCCATAAATTGTGACTCTCCATATTAGCAAAATATTTGTGATGAATATAGTTACTGTTATTTCAAATTGATACATATTTCTCTGCCCCAGGCTCCCTCCTGCTTCTCATAGCGCCGAGAAACACACCTGTGCAGGTACAGATGCAAACACCGACACACATGCAGATGTACAAATACACTAGCTGACACATACAGAAACACACACTGATACATATACAGTTGTGCAGATACACACACTGACATATACAGACATATATAGATATACAAACTGATATACACACTAACATACTGACACATGCAGTTGCACAGACTCACTAATACACATACAGATATAGGCACACAGACACACACATACTGACGCATAAAGATCTACAGACAGACACAAACACTGCCACACATGATACACTGACACGCATACAGTTGCACAGACACACTGGCCCATACATATCTACAGACACGGATACAAACACTTTCACAAATGCAGATAAACACACAGAGATGAAAAAACTGACACAAATACAGTTGCACAAACACACTGATACACATACTGATATACAGGAAGACAGACAGAAACACTGACACATGTATACACATATACACACACAGATCTACTGATACAGATGCAAACACTGCCACACATGCAGATACAAATACAGTCGCACAGACGCAAACATACTGACACACATACAAATACACACAATGACACACAGATTAATCACTGACACACATGCAGATACACAGACGTACAGCGATACAGATACACACACACACACACACACACACACACAGACCCTAAAACACATGCAGTTGCATAGACACATTGATACACATACTGGTACACCTATAGATGTACAGGCAGACACACACACTGCCACACATGCTGACACACACACACACACATAAATGCAAACCCTATCACACATACAGGTGCATAGACACATTGATACACTTTCACACACACACACACACACACATGCAGGTGTGTGTGTATGTTTGAGCTGGGAGGAAGTGCCCGGCTTACTCTTACTTCCTGTTGGAAGGGGCACAGGCGTGCTGTTAAAGTGCCGCAGCGCACAAAAGGGCCCCCATGGCACAAGCCCATCAGGTGGTCCTAATTGCAAGGGCTGTCTGCACTTAGATTTGACACTGGATTGTTCCTTTGGGGGTAAGCGTACCACGGGTTAGTAAAAGGAGTTCTAGTCAAAATGTATAATTTTTGATTAACTGACGTGGAAAGCCCAATTTTGATATTGACCTTTGATTTAGAGATATTGTAAGGTCTGAATTCTGGAATACACCAGACTGCTTAATAACCACTGGTTTAGTAATGAAGTTTGTTATTATGATTTGTTGTCGTGCATGACGTGCGCTGTAATTTGTAGGGGGGGTTATGTGTATTAATTATTAAATTGTGACTGGTGCCTGCTTTTCTTGCAGCCCTCTGGCAGATGGTCCTTATTCCAGCGAAAGCGAGAGGCAGAGGCTTTTTGATTTATACAGATATCTTCACTGTCGCATCCACAACTCTGCACGGCCCCTCCGGCTCATCTATCATGTAGCTGAGAAAGAGACTTTACTGGCCTGGGTGAGTATGCTAACAGTGAGGGCGACATTCTGGTTGGGATACAGGTGGTTATCCGATTGCACAGCTGCCATTGTAGAAGTGGGAAGCTTTCTCAGGGTGAGTGGAAAAGAAGAGGGGTTCACTACTTGTGTGGAATTGGAAGGAACGGATCTAACAGAGATCATTCATTAAACTCTGAATTATAGTGTCAGATTGCGGCTGGCATGGTTCTGATACTCGTCACGGTGGAGAATGGCTCCAGACGAGCCACTATAATTCCGATTTCAGTGAATAAACCCATACTATTCAAATTGTAGAAAACTGAATTTTTAGGCCAGGGTAGCCAAACTAAAAGATTCTACAAGTCAACCAGGTTTTCAGTTCTACTGTTTGTAGCTTAACGTTTGAAACTGACTAAGAATTGACAGCAGGTCACACTGGAGTGAATTGACCTGTGAGGCACTGGGAAGGCTGTTAGATTTCAGCATTTGCTTGTTGTTGTCTCCTCCCCAGGTGACCAGTAAATTTGAACTATACACTGCATTCAGCTCCTTGGTGACCAAGGTGGGTGCCATTAACGTGATAACCAAGCTTTTGCGCTGGATAAAGAAAGAAGAAGACCGGCTCTTCATTCGCTACCCTCCAAAATACTCTACCACTCCCCTGCCTGGTAGGGCCCAACGGGCAGACCGGACTGAACGTTTCCAGAATGGATTCCTCACGGGAGTCTAGAGCAAAGCACTTAGTTTATTCCCTTTCCAGTAGGGATAATAACCAGCCGGCATAGCTCCCAGTCATGGAGACAGGATAAATCTGCTCTGAGATACAGACCGGCTGCGGATCCTCGATGGCAGAGCCGGTTATCTCATGGACTGTATGCTGCTCAGGGCTCCCACACAGATTGCTTCAGCCCTAACTTTGCAGAAGGTGTCAGTATTATGACCCAGTCTTATTTTCACACATGTTCTGTTTAAATTTCTTAAAATAAAATGGTTCCATTTATTGGTTCTGACCTGTTTATTTTTGTCTTATTGTTCAAGTTATCCCGTGTAACACTTATTGCTGTTGTATTGTTCAGACAGCACAGCAATGTATCAAATTCTGTGACCCCAATTCACACAATCCTCTCCCTGCCTTAAGAGCTACCCAAGGATTCTTAGATTTGTAGTTTAACTGGCAGGCTTGAAATATAGATTCTCGTTCATAACAAGGCAGCCAGGTCTTCTCGTCTCATCTCTGTCATTAGATCGAAGAGCCGTCCCACTGTGGCTTCCGTCACTTTTACCTGTGCAATGAGAACAGCTATTAGTATTATTCGCATGGCACCCAGCATGAACCACCACGAGCCCAGGTTTAATATCAGGCGTGACCCACCCCGAGCCTTGGTTTAATGATGTATCTGGCATGGCACCCAGCGTGACCCACCCCAAGCTCCGGTTTAATGATGTATCATTCATGGCACCCAGCGTGCCTGCCCCGAGCCCCGGTTTAATGATGTATCAGGCATGGCACCCAGGGTGCCTGCCCCAAACCCCGGTTTAATGATGTATCAGGGATGGCGACAACCCGAACTGTTGTCCTTGCTCAACCATGTCTTGTCCCTGGAAGGGAACCAGCTATAACACAGAGAGACCCATTTCCCACCCAGTAACCGGACAACACACAGGCCTAGGGGTACAACAACAACTTTATTGGCAACACTCTGCTTTATGCTTTCCCCACGCAGGGGGTGGATCACACACAATGACAATGTCCCCTCCAAGGAACCTCAATCCATTTGTCCCCTGTTCCCGCCACTCCATGCCCCCTCACAGGTTCCTCCCTCTCCCAGAGGTCTGTGCGTGTGACAGGAACTCCAGTCCCTTTGTCCCCAGTTCCCGCCCCCCATCCTCAAGGTTTCCCTCCTCCGGGGACCTGGGGCTCTTTATCCCATGAGTCTCTGTACCTGGGAGTCCCAATGCAGGAATGTTTCCCGCTTCTGTGATTCCCAGCTACAGAAAGCCCACCAAACCACCATTGTCCCCAAGAGTGTCGCCACCAATCTCAGGGACCCCAGAATGGTAACCGCCTCCACTCGTGGGGTCCCTGGATGAAACCAGGCAAGGGAAGTGTCTCCTTTCGGGACACAAATGCTCCCCTAGGCTACCATTCGTCTAAATGGGGAAGCACTCATTAATCCCCTTGCGGTTTCACACTTATGTTGCAAGTTGCCAACATTCTCATTTCAATTTTTATTTGGGTTTTTCATTTTTTCAAAAGTACGTACCAATTTCGTAGCATATTCAAAACATATAGCCAAAAACATTAAATACAAAAATAAAATGTTATTACTGCCGAGGAATATGAGGTCCAAATATTCAGTAAGATCGTTATCAAAGTGAATGTTTTTTTTTTTCTTAGGGTAATGAAGTTATGAAAGTTCATTTATTCTAATTAACCACTATTCCCATATATCAAATTTCTTTTTTGAATTAAAGAGGATAATGCTAATGGATCTGATCCTCTAATAGAATGTATGCTTTCTCCCATTGCGGACTAACAATAGATTTCCAGTTTCATGCACTGGTTAATTTAATTGCTAGTAGCATATGGGTAAGCAACATCTAACCTTTAAGGGCATAATTGGCCAATTTAGATGTAGTAAAACTTCTGCTGGAGATCAGTTTATTTTACAATTCGATATTTTAGTAAACCAATAAAGTGATTTACTCCAGATATCTTTGAGCCTATCGCATGCTCACCATATATGTAAGTAGGTACCTTTTTGGATGTTGCATCTCAAACACAAGTCAGACTCAGATTGGGGAATTTTTACAGATTTTATGGGAACCCAATACAATCTTTTAATAATTTTGTAATGCATCTCCAAAAGAATTAAACAGTGAATGAATGGTGTAGATCTAATTTAATGTTTTTTTCCAATCCTCTTGTTCAATATTTAATTTCAAATCTTTTTCCTGGTTAGATATAACAGGTATTTTTGTGTAATGTTAAGATTTGTAATCAACTGACTAGTTTTTGAGAGAATTTCTCCCATTTTTGAGTGATGGAGTATTTTAGATATATTTGAAATTATATCGGAATCATGGTAGAGAAGATATTTATTTAAAATATTTTTCACTCTAAGGTAATTGAAGATTTACAAATTAGGTAGATTAAATTCCTCCTTCAAATCTGCAAATGATTTTATGAAAGCATTAATTACCAAATTAAATATGTTAGAAATATTATTTTGTTTCCAGAGAGTATAGTTCAAATCTTCTGTTGTTACCTCCATAATTCCTGTTTTATTTATTGGTAATAGTATTGACCTAATTTGCATTTGTGGGTTTTTTTTTTTGTTTTTTGTTTTTATAGTTACCCCACCTTTTATTAATTGAGTCAAAACTATACTTTGTTGTTTTTAAGAAGCTAATTAATTGTTTTTCATTAACATTCCATATAATTAGAGAGATCTTGAACCCGTGTCATAAACCTTTCAATGTCTTACCATGCTTAAAATTCTGGGGAATAAGATTGTAGACAATATAAGTGGGTCAAAACACTGGCTTGATACAAATTTTTAATATTTGGAAATCCTAATCTGCTTTTTTAAATTATTTTTTTTAGGCATAGGTAAAATCTTATGACTGATCCTAGGAGGCTTTGCCTTCCATCTAAAATTTCATATACTAGATTGTAACATTAAAAGGATTAGAAATTGCAAGGGGTATCATTTGAAACATATGACTATGGGAATAATGTAACTAGTTATTAAATTGATACGACCCCACCATGATAATTCAACCTTCCTCCAGTTGTTAATAGAATGATTTGTTAATTTTTAACGTTTCCATTAAGTTTACTTCCATTAATCAATTTTTTTTTTGTGATTTTTAACTCTCAGATATACAAAACTGTTTAACCCAAGTGAAATTATATAAACTTTTTAATATTTTTAGTTTATCTCTATTTTTGTAGACAGAATCATATTTATCTATATTGACTTTATAATTCGAGACAATACTAAATTGCTGAATTTCTTCCAATAAATTTGGTAATGATTTCTGTTTGATATTATGAGGACATCATCTGCACATAGGCTGATTTTTAAATAGTTTTTCTTTAATACATACTCCTTTTATATTTTGACTACTTCTAATTCTTATTGCAAACGGTTCTATTGATAAAATATATAAAATGGGGGAGAGTGAACAACCCTGCCTAGTGCAGTTTTTTTTCGTTTTTTTAATATAGGAAACCATTCGGATAGAATACCATGACCGACTGTTCTTGCTGATGGAGTATGGTACATAGACATAATTGCTTGAAGCATCCAGTCCTGAATACCAAAACTTTGCAATGATTTCTTTATAAATCCCCACCCGACCCTGTCGAACGCTTTTTCAGCATCAATCTAGAGGGTCAGGAGCAGAGTGCCCTGCTGGAGAAAAAACCTATTTGATCTGGATGTATTAGAAAATTTAACACTTGTTTTAGTCTCTCAGCGAGAATAGATGCAAATAATTTGATATGTGTTCGAAAGAGATATTGGCCTATAGCAGTGGTAGTCAACCTTTTTCTACCTACCGCCCACTAATGCATCTTTCTTGATGGAAAAATTTCCTTACCGCCCACCAGTTTTTGCGCAAGTGCGGAATATTTTTTAGAAAGGAGGGTGTTTTAAAAAAAAATAAAAGTACGTACATTTATCTTTTTATTTCTACATAATGCATGTTTATAATGTTTTTAACTTTATAAATTTTAATTGGAAAACAATAAAGTAAATTGAAATTACCTTTACTAGTGATTAATGAGATCCTTGAGGCTGATGCTGCAAGACTAAATATTTGATATCTGGTTCGATTTTCGTAAGGAACAAACGAAGGTCTCCTCTTTCGGTGATATTCAGACGGTTTCTCTGTTTGCTCATAATATGATTAACAGCACTAAAGCCTGATTCTACAAGATATGTGGTAGGGAAAGGTATCAATAAATTGAACATAATTTTCCACATATTTGGATATAACGCAGGCATTTTTTTATTTTGAGTTTTTGGTATCCACCACTGCCAAAATTACATTTACTCTCTTCGTCATATTTAAGTTCTAATAGTTCTTCTTGGCAAGTTATATCAACTTCAGCAACATTTGCTGTAAAAGGATTTATCATCCAGTCATGCACCTTTAAGTTCAAAATATCTTGAAATCGTTTTTCCATATCCAATTTGAGTTCCTTGAGGTGACTACTGAACCTTTCAATATCCCCCGGAGTTACATCATTGTTTATAGAGGACAATTCAGGAAACTGATGAAATTCTCTCTTGAAAATATTATGACGGAGAAGATCAAGCTTTTCGATAAATAACGACACAATATTTTTGCAACTTATAAGCGTTATATTGGCTCCTTGAAGCTGCAAATTAATTTAATTAAATCTCTTGAAAATGTCTGCCAAATAAAAGGCATCATTCTTTACGGTTTTTAACTGTTCATAGAGACCAGCCTCATTATCACTTTCAAAAAACTGTACGACACTATCAAATAATGCAACAAAACGAGTCAAGCATGTACCCTTTGAGAGCCATCGAACTTCTGTATGTAAAAGTAACCTAATAAACTGCTCGTTATTGTCCTGGCACAGCTGTCGAAACATTCTATCACACTTGGCATTAGATTTTCTTATTAACAGCTTTAATTATAATAATGATGAATGGAGACTTGCACTTAAATGTTTTCCTACAATATGTTGTCTGTGCACAACACAATGAATACACAAAACGTTTGGCACTTCTTCCTTCAAGTAAGCAACAAACCCACGATAGCGACCTACCATTGATGGTGCTCCATCAGTAGCACATGCAACAATATTGTTCAAGGGTATATTGTTTTTTGCAAAGTATGATTTCACAGCATTACATATTGATAATCCTTTTGTATCTGTAATCAGATTGACAGTGAATAGCATTTCTTCTTGCAATGTATTGTTTTCATCAAGGTACCGTACATATGTCATCAGTAGAGCATTATTATCTGCAATGACAGACTCATCCACTTGTATAGAAAATGACGAATTTTGGAGAATACCTATAAGTTTATTTTCAACATTAGCCGCCATTTCGTCAATGCGTCTCTCTTTACTGTGTTATCGCTAAGGGGCAATGTTTTTAAAACTTTAGGTATATCCTGATGCATTACTGTTGAGATAAATTCTTTGATAGAGGGTATTATCAAAGTTTCTCCAATATTATGGCTTTTACCACTTTTTGCAATTAAGTGTGATATACGATAAGCTGCAGTTAATCCATCCTCATTCTTTGCATGTTGTTTTTGAAAGGATGTAGCTATTGTTGAACGATTTTGAAATCTTTTATAGATTTCTTGAAAATATTCAATGGGCTTATCTTTATCTTGCGAA